TCTGTTTCCTCCTCTGAAAAATGATGAGCTTGGACCAGATGTCCTCTAAGCTTTTCTTGGCTTAAACTTCATGTGATTTAGGTTATTTTTACCAAAAATTCTACACTCTTGGCAGCTTTAATAACAGAACCACATACAATACACAAACTCAAGCACATGAAACAACCAGGGAGACATGCTGAAGAGGATTTAGTCTAAGCTAATATCCAATCAATGACCCAGGACTCATGAATAACCATTATTTTTGAAACTAGTAATGTCATCGCAGGCTAGAGACACAAAGAGGGGCATACACTCGTGCCATGTGAATTCAGTCTCATTCTCTCCTGTGTGAGTAGCCAATGGGCACGCCATCAGGGATGAAAAATCCCTAGGTTTGGGAATTAGAGAGCTATGCATTATGGGAAACCAGGGTCCAGTGAGCGGTTTAGGGTGTTTAGCTGCCTTCCTGTGGCTTGGAGGGGACACACTGTTAGCACCGTCAGGGCCCCCTGACTCTTCTATGGTCACTTGTCAGTGGAGTCATTGAATATAAAACCCTTGACTCTTTTCCGTGAGAACCCTGCAGGTTTTGAGAGGCAGCTTTGGCTTCTCACAAGAGCTGTGGCCCAAGAAAAATGAAGTCTCCCATTACTTACAACCTCTCAGCATTTCAGAGGAAAAAGGTTGGCGGTGGCTGCCAAGATCCAGCAAATATTTGGTTAGCTTGGAAAGAATGGGTGCTCATTTTCCAATTCTCACAGATTTCTCTATGCCCAGTTCTTTTTATTAAAAACTTTAAATCCAGAGATAAAGTTGAATGGCACTGCAGGCTCTAAGCATTCATCTGTATCCCAGGGAGCAGAACCCAGGATCTAAACAAACAAAAGTTTAATCAATAGAATTCATGAATTCCCTCTAGGAATAGGACCCAACGTAGCAGAAGAATAAGCACAGGGGCTCCTATCCATGGTTTTCTATTAGTGGATATTTCTGGGAAGGACTTTGGAGAATACCCTTTCAACTGACCAGGGTCAGCAAACTATGGCCCATGGACCAAATCTTGCCTGCTGCCTTTTTAGTTGAGTTTTGTATTTTTGTACAGCCTGTTGAGAATTTTTTTTTCACTTTTGTATAGAGTTGAAAAAAATCAAAAGAATATTTCACAAATATCTGAAAATTAGATGAAATTCAAATTTGTGTTTGTAAATAAAGTTTTATTGGAACACAGCCACATCCATTTGTTTGCATAATATATACGGCTGTTCTTGAACTACAGTAGCAGAGTTGAGTAGCTGAGACACGAGACCACATAGCCCTCAAAGCCTAAAATATGTACTATCTGGCCCTTTGTAGAAAAAGTTTGCAGAGCCCTCGAATAGGAAATGTAAGAGTTGCCTCTCACTATTATTTGAACTAAAAACTGTAAGATATATATGCACAGTTAACTAATCATAAATCAAACACTTGTATAAACTCACACTTGAGTCAAGAAATAAAACATTGCCCATCAATCAGCACCCAGAAGTCTTCCATGTGTTCTTTCTCCTCCACTAGAGCTATGAGCCTTTGTGACATTTTCCTTGCTGTTCTTTGTACTTCTACCACCTGAACTCTGTGAGTTTTGCCTGTTTTCAAACTGTATATAAACAGAATAACACTGTATATTTGCCTTTGCATCTGTTTCTTTCTCTCAAATTTGTGAGACTCGACTCTGAGTTGTGTGTGGCTATCGTCCTGTCATTTCCTGGTGGTGGCTATGCGTCCTGTCAATTCCTGTTGTTGTTCACTTCGATGGATTCCACTATGTTTACTTAGGCAAGTTCGTTTGTCATTTTACGTGTTAGAGGACAGTTTGATCATTCGTTGTTGGGGCTTAGTGGTGAATAACCACTCCATAAACATCTTGCGTACGTGTGGGCATCAGTGATTTTAAGAGTCTTTCAGAGAAAGTATGATGTGCTGCTGTGATATGGCAGACTTTCAACTCGACCGACTAATGCCAGGAGTTTTGTCTTGGAAGAGGCTGGAAGCAAATCAGCGCCGACAGCCACGCGGTGTGTGAGAACTGTAGAAGCGCTGTTTGTGTGTTATCAGCACTATGCACGCCCGACAACCCGACGTGGATGTGCTTGCGGCGGAGCCTTCGAGCCAGACATGACCTCGTCCGTACCACTTGGACTCTCGTGTAAAATAATAAGGCGTTGAAAAAGAGAAAAAAAAAGGCAAGGAAGACAGTCACCTTCTAAATGGCCCGGTTGAAATGTTGAAAAGGTGATCTCTTTCTGGATTCACAGGCTGTGCTAGCAGGTAAAGCCAGGGTGAGAAGAATTCTGGACAATCCCCCACAGCATGGAGCTGAGAAAGAAAAGCTCATCACAGTCAGCTGGGGCAGGGTGCGTATATAAAGCATTGCACAGTGGAGCAGAGTGAGGAGAGCCAAGGAAATGGGTACCTGCCCTTTCTCTCAGGGAATCAGATTATATGATCAGTATCAGATGTGATGGGAACAGGCTTTGCATGCTTGTTGTCTTTCTCTGAACGGTTTTGGGAAAAGCAGGGCTGAAAGACCCCCCTCCACAATGTCAGTTTGCTGAAGACCCCAGCACTGGAGTACCAAGGCACTGGAGAGGCAGTTTTTCTGAAGCATGATGTAGCCTAGCTTGAAAAGGCACAAAAAAACCCCAAATCCAGCACACATTTATCCAGTTGTGAAGCGATTAATAGAATAACCAAAACATAGAAAACAACAAAATAAAAACGTTCATGTTATTTGAACACGCCAGAGCATGAAAGAGTTCAGGGAGACATCAGTTGTTTACTCCATTTCGGCGCTGCATATCTATAATTAAATCCAGCGGCAGCGTGGCCCAAGAGCAATGCGGTCATTTTAAGCTGACTTGAACTCCCTCCCCATCATCTGCGTTTAATTTTAATTACCATTCCCAGTATGTAGGAGGCTGAGTGGTAAAACAGAAACAAAATAATCAAACAAACAAACAAAACAACAGGATGAAGGGTTGCGCATCGTGTTTTAAAGCCGAACAGGCTGGAAAGGAGGCTTTTAGGCAGAGGGTGATCTCGCTCGTAATTCCATTTTATTCTGTAACAGGTGCACAATCCCTTCATTTTCTTTTTGACATAAAAAAAGGAACTTCATGAACAAGACAAAGAATAACTTGGATTGAGTTATATGAAACATAACTGGTTTTTTTGTTTTTTCTGACAAATCACAGAAACGTTGATACAATAATAGAAAAAAGTGGTACCTAATTTCTTTTAAAAGATGTTATGACAATAAGCACCAGATGGCCTCTAGAGTAAAATCGGCCGCCATATCCAGGTAGATTATGCAGTCGTCATGTTCGTCTACGTGAGTGTATATAACCATGTACAAGAGTCTGTGTAGATTTATGGAAAAGCAGATTTCCAGCTTTTTTCCCCAAAGGTGCTTTATGTCAGGCAACATTACAGCGAGCGGATACTTTGCCTGTCTAGGTACAAAATTAAATCTCTTCTTTTGTACAGCTCACTTCTCCAATGTGTGTGTGTTTTTTTTTTTTGGCTTCATCTGTTGCACAAAAAAGAAAAAAAATAATGTACCGCGAAATTCCTATATTCTGCACTAACAGAAGAAGTGCTATTTAATAACTGCTGGTTATTTAATAATGACATGGCCAAGGGATCAATAATAATACCGAATAAAAACTGAACATGTGTACAGTCGCTATTCACCATACTTCAAGGCAACCGGAAAGTCAGGTTCGTCGGATGAGGGAGTTGATTTAGCTTGCTCAAAATGTTGTGTATGCTACGTGCTTGATGCTGGTGAATTTAGGGAAACCAA